ATTGTGTATTTCTTCTCATCCATAGCACTTGTAATGTCCTCCATCAGGTCGGTAATGGCCAAAGATGTTGATCGGTTCGACCTAAAACCGTATTGGCAATCAGAGAGGATTTTATGTTTGTCAATAAATGTATCTAATCTGTTATTAAAGAGTTTTTCCAAGATTTTTGAAAACTGTGACAACAGAGAAACCGGTCTATAATTTGTGAAGTTGTGCTTATCACCAGATTTATACAGTGGAATAACCTTTGCTATTTTCATATTATTGGGGAACTGACCAAGTTGAAACGACATGTTAAAAATATGGGTTAATGGTTTGCATATCCCCTCAATTACCCATTTAACAGTTGTCATAGTGATACCATCACTATCACTAGATGTTTTGTTACCACATTTATTCACTATCTCTATAATTTCCTTTTCAACTATGGGCTTCAAAAACATAGAACTCATGTTCCTTTCGATTGTATTATTATTTATAGTGACGGATGTATCATCTGTACAAATGCTTCTTGCTAAACCAGGAACAACATTCACAAAGAACCTATTGAACTTATCTACAACTTTCTCAATGCTAAAAAAATATCACAAACTTTGTTGGCCTCGGCTGTGTTCAAGTGCTTTATACAGTGCCTTGCGAAAGTATTCGGCCCCCTTGAACTTTGCGACCTTTTGCCACATTTCAGGCTTCAAACATAAAGATATAAAACTGTAATTTTTTGTGAAGAATCAACAACAAGTGGGACACAATCATGAAGTGGAACGAAATTTATTGGATATTTCAAACTTTTTTAACAAATAAAAAACTGAATAATTGGGCGTGCAAAATTATTCAGCCCCTTTACTTTCAGTGCAGCAAACTCTCTCCAGAAGTTCAGTGAGGATCTCTGAATGATCCAATGTTGACCTAAATGACTAATGATGATAAATAGAATCCACCTGTGTGTAATCAAGTCTCCGTATAAATGCACCTGCACTGTGATAGTCTCAGAGGTCCGTTTAAAGCGCAGAGAGCATCATGAAGAACAAGGAACACACCAGGCAGGTCCGAGATACTGTTGTGGAGAAGTTTAAAGCCGGATTTGGATACAAAAAGATTTCCCAAGCTTTAAACATCCCAAGGAGCACTGTGCAAGCGATAATATTGAAATGGAAGGAGTATCAGACCACTGCAAATCTACCAAGACCTGGCCGTCCCTCTAAACTTTCAGCTCATACAAGGAGAAGACTGATCAGAGATGCAGCCAAGAGGCCCATGATCACTCTGGATGAACTGCAGAGATCTACAGCTGAGGTGGGAGACTCTGTCCATAGGACAACAATCAGTCGTATACTGCACAAATCTGGCCTTTATGGAAGAGTGGCAAGAAGAAAGCCATTTCTTAAAGATATCCATAAAAAGTGTCGTTTAAAGTTTGCCACAAGCCACCTGGGAGACACACCAAACATGTGGAAGAAGGTGCTCTGGTCAGATGAAACCAAAATCGAACTTTTTGGCAACAATGCAAAATGTTATGTTTGGCGTAAAAGCAACACAGCTCATCACCCTGAATACACCATCCCCACTGTCAAACATGGTGGTGGCAGCATCATGGTTTGGGCCTGCTTTTCTTCAGCAGGGACAGGGAAGATGGTTATAATTGATGGGAAGATGGATGGAGCCAAATACAGGACCATTTTGGAAGGAAACCTGATGGAGTCTGCAAAAGACCTGATACTGGGACGGAGATTTGTCTTCCAACAAGACAATGATCCAAAACATAAAGCAAAATCTACAATGGAATGGTTCACAAATACACATATCCAGGTGTTAGAATGGCCAAGTCAAAGTCCAGACCTGAATCCAATTGAGAATCTGTGGAAAGAACTGAAAACTGCTGTTCACAAACGCTCTCTATCCAACCTCACTGAGCTCGAGCTGTTTTGCAAGGAGGAATGGGCAAAAATTTCCGTCTCTCGATGTGCAAAACTGATAGAGACATACCCCAAGTGACTTACAGCTGTAATCGCAGCAAAAGGTGGCGCTACAAAGTATTAACTTAAGGGGGCTGAATAATTTTGCACGCCCAATTTTTCAGTTTTTTATTTGTTAAAAAAGTTTGAAATATCCAATAAATTTCGTTCCACTTCATGATTGTGTCCCACTTGTTGTTGATTCTTCACAAAAAATTACAGTTTTATATCTTTATGTTTGAAGCCTGAAATGTGGCAAAAGGTCGCAAAGTTCAAGGGGGCCGAATACTTTCGCAAGGCACTGTAAGTAACAAACAAGCTATTATCACTATAAACAAAAATAAATCTAATAATAAAAATAAAAGTACAACAATACTGCACACTGATATACAGAGTATTTACAGTTGTTACAGTCTGTAGGTGTGTGAGGTCAACTGGGGGAAGCAATGCTGGTTGTACAGCCTGACAACAAAATGCATGTTTAGCATCATAACAGAGGGACAGCAAAACACACCACTGAACTTTGCTGTTTGTTCCTACTGTGTCCTCTCTTATTTTTTGACTGGTTCTGTCAAATAGACATGAAATAGACAGAACAAAAAGCTCTGTGCAGCTTTTACCTTAATCTAAAATACAGAAAAGAAGCTATTGTAGTTTTATCAACCACAAAAAGCACAAGAGAAGGAGAGTCAACTAAACTGTTTCTAAATCACTGTATCAAATGTCACAATTATGCATTAAAGTAATAATTGAGGAGCCGAATTGTCTCCCAGCACTGCTGAGGTAACTTGCTGATCTTTTTGTAATACTCTACTAACTGTCCCTCTTTCTCTGTCTGTTTCTTTGTCCAGCTTTAAGGGACAACAGGATTGAGCTGGTGCGTGCATCATGGTCAGAGCTGACCATCAGTATCAGTGACGTCACATTGTCTGATGAAGGCATGTACACCTGTTCTCTCTTCACCATGCCTGTCAGAACGGCCAAAGCTTACCTGACTGTTCTAGGTAAGTACAGGATGTTGTTGGTCTTTGGTTCTTCTTACCATGCTAACTC